CTTGGACTGTACTTCCAAATGCTCCATTTTATCCGTTATGGCTATTAGACCCTCACAAGTTTTGTAGACGTCATCCCTTGTTTCCTTGGTTTGTATTTTCTGTTCACCCATGGCTGCTTTAATCACATCCACATCTCGCTGGGTAAACTGCAAACTCATTTTTATCTCCTGTATTTCTCTGGTCATGTCGTCGAGTCTCTTGTTATTTGTCTCCATAATTAGTTGCACAAAACCTTTGAAGTTGTCTTGTTGTTGGCTCAACAGTGCGGTGTACATCTGCTTCTGCTGACTCAACATCTCTGTTACTTGCGCCACTAAAATATAATCCTCTTCTGCCTCAACATCCTCGTTCGCTTCTGATTTATTAGCTCTTTTCCCTCTTGGAGGCATTTTAATAGTTGTAGAATTTGTTCAAAGACTTGAAAATGTAGAAGATGTGAAAAATCGTAGAACAGACAGGAGCAGTAAACATCTGCTCTCGCTTGCAACCCGGAAGAACGGAATTATGCATGTGCAAACTGAGAATGAGACTGAGAATGAAACTGAGAGTATTTCCTGGTAATAAACTCCTCAGCTGTTTAGAAGTCTGATGGCAGAGGGAAAGAAAGAGTTTTTCAGTCTAGTGGTCCTGCATTTCACACTTCTGAACCTCCGACCAGAGGGTAGGAAGGTGAACAGTGCGTGCTGGGGGTGGGTGGGATCTTTGAGGATGGAGGCAGCCTTCTTACGCACCCTGTGGTGGTAAATGCTCTGCAGAGAGGGCAGTGGAGTCCTGGTGATCTTTTATTTGTTGATTCTATTATAATAACTTGATGTAATTAATTATCTAATCATTTTTCATAGCATGCACTGTTACTGATTTGTGCTGTTATTTTATTGGTGCATTTTTCTACCTGGTTAATTTTCAGCTCAGCTGAGCTCTGACGTCCAGGGGGGTAATCCAGAAAGCAGGTTAAATGAAAACACTTTGTTCCTGGTGAACTGATGGAAATCCAGGTGTTCAGTTCCACAAACAGAGATGGGTTGAACTCTCTTAGCCAGTTACCATGGTGACTTATTCCATGAACCTAACCTGTTTTCTGGCAGGTGTTCTTCAACAATCCCAGGTTGTCTCTGTCTTTCCTCTCGCAGAGTCTGCAGAAGCTGTCTGGGTGTTTCTCAAGTCTCTTATTAGCACCATCGTTTCCCTCACTTGTGTTTTTTCCTTGGGTCTTAGTCCTGACCATGTTAGATGTGAGGAGAGGATGCCAGGAGAGAGGACTCCAGGAACATCCATCTGCTATATTTGAATTAAGGTCAAGATGGCGCCGTTGTGAGGACGCCTGTTTCAGTAGCTCCCATGTGTTTGTTGTTTTCGGTGTTTGTGTGTTGTTGTTGTTTTTGGCGTTTGGTAAGGTATGACCTCGGTCTCGCCTGTTTTTTGTTTTGTTTTTGTTTTTTCGTTTTCTTTGCTTCTTTTCTCTTCCTCCTCTGCAATGGAGGGCGACGGTCGTCGAGGCAGGCCTCTTGCTTACTCGTGTGATCAGCTATTGGCGCTGAGTAAGCTTGTACTGCCGCCGGGAGATCGGTACATAATTCCGAAGGAGTTGTTGAGAAGACGTCGGGGATGTAGAGCCGGAGTTAAAGTGAAGGCTAAGAGAAGGAGACACAAGCCCGCTGTTCCTGGGATTATAATGGGGAATGTTCGATCTCTGGCTAATAAAATGGATGAGTTAGCCGCGCTGGTCAAGACTCAGAGGGTGTTTCGTGAGTGCAGCTTATTGAGTTTTACGGAGACATGGCTGCATTCGGACATCCCAGAGGATAACATTTCGGTTCCTGGTTTTGTGACAGTGCGGGCGGACCGGGACGGGATTGACAGTGGGAAGAA